CCCTGGACTGGCCCCCACACAGGCAGGGACCTGGGGGGCCAGGAGGGAGTGGGTACGACTGAAGAAGGAACATCTCCCTCTGGGAGTTCACAGTCCAAGGTGTGGCTGCATGGGAAGCCAGCTCCAGCCTACCTCAGGGCCTTTGCACTGGCTGTCCCCTCTGCCTGGAATGCAATTCTTGAAATATACACACAATTCCCTCCCTCTTTCCCTTCTGATCTTTGCTCTGATATCAGCTTCTTGGTGAGGTCTTTCTTGACAACTTGCTTTAAGATTGCAACCATCTCCCTTACCCTGGATGCTCCCTTTCCTTGCTTTCTTTGTCTCCATGGTACCAAAAAAAAAAAAAAAATGCCTTTGCACTTACTTATCTTGTTTAGTATCCATCACCCCACTCAGCTGTCAGCTCCAAGAGAGCAGGCATTTCCTCAGTGCCTACCTACAACAGTGCCTGATACAAACATTTGCTGAATGAACCCTCAAAAGCAAGAGATAAGGGTCCCTGAGAAATTGAGTCCTCAGAAAAGCAAGTTGTCACTGGAGCTTGGGAGAATGGAGATTCTTCCGGAAGAAGAGTTTCTGGTGCCATATAGGGTCGGGACTGTAGAGGGTTTGACAGGCAGCAATGCATGCAGGAGAGGGCTTTCCCAGCAGAGGGAACAGGCAGGGCAAAGGTCTGGTGGCTGGAAACTGAGCAGGGACGCAATGGGGACACGAGGGCAGCAGGGTGCAGTAGACAGGAAAGAGAGGAGAGGAAGCAGAAGCTACGGGGTGGGTGGTGAGGAACCTGTGCATGGTGAGGAATCTCGGGAGAGTCCAGAACATGGAGGGGCCTGGTCATATGGAAGCTGCCAGAAGGATCAGAGGAGGGGCAGAGGACAGTACTCCAAAGGCCCAATGACCAGGCCCTGGGGCACATGAGCCTGAAATGGGGGGATACTGGGCATCTCAGTGGCCTCAGACTCACCTCCGTCTTCTTAAATCGTGCCCGGAGGGTCTTCATGGCCAGCGTCTGATGGTTCTCTTCAACCTAGGCCACCTAGGGAAGCATAAGAGTGGGGTGGGATGAGGCACCTGGGGAATAGGAGGGTCACCAGCCTCCCCTTCCTCAAAAGGACCTCTTCTTCCCTGGGCCATTTCAGACCCTAGAACAGGAACCAGACGCAGAACACCCCATCTCCTAATTGCTGTGTGTCCTTTGGCAGGTCACTTGCCCTCTCTGAGTCTCACCTTCCTCAAACTTAAAATGAGGGAGATAATGCCCTTTTTTTTTTTTGCCTACTTTTGTCTTTTTTTTTTCTTTTATTCTTATGTTAATCCCCATACATTACATCATTAGTTTTAGATGAAGTGTTCCATGATTCATTGTTTGTGCATAACACCCAGTGCTCCATG